CGCGTCGTCCGCATCAGACCAGCCAGCACTCCAGGGCGTGACCGGAGGCTCGGGACACAACTTGTGGCGTCGGAACTGCCACCCTCCTTCCCCGTGGGAGCCATGGAAGCACCGGCCCTGCAGAGTCCCACTTGGCAGCTCGACCGCTACCTGACCTCCGTCACGGGTCCCTCGAAAAGCCCCATTCACAGGGCACGGCTGTCACGTGAGCCGATTCAGAGCTCACTTTGTGACAAAAACCCTTTCCCCGGGGAGTCTGTTGAAAACAGCTGCCAAGGCCGCAGGGCCAGCTGGGGCCAGCAAGCGCCTGGTCACAGGTGTAAAGGGAAGATCCGGGGACCAAGAGGTCTACAGGGAGCTTTGAAAAACTCCGGCCAACTCCCAGGGATGCAGAGGACACGCATGTGCAGAACGGTGCATGAGCCCAGGAAAGATGTGAGCGGCCACCCCAACCCCTGCCCTCTGGCCGCAAGCAGAGGGTGAAGGTGACGACAGAGTGCTCCGGGACAGACGCACACACACAGCCCCCGGCAGGGATGGCAGACACACCGGCTCGAGGCGTTTAAGGAGGTCTCGGACCAGGGGTGGGGGGTCGGGGGGAGGAAGTCTCGGACCAACCAACTGACCACTAGGCTCACCAAGCAGAGACAGCAGTGGCCAAACGTTATAAAGAACACAAGACTTTCTAGAATTAGTTCGGGAAAGCCATGGAAGAAATAGACTAAAACAAAACTCTAGCCACAAAAACAAACACGAGAGGGAGGAGGATCTGATGTCGTTTTCAACAAAATCAAAAGTATTACAAAACATGCAAAGAAGCAGGAAAGCATGGGCCATACACAGAGGAAAACAGTCAAAAGAAACTGTCCCTGAGAGGACCCAGATGTTAGACTTACTAGACAAAGACTTTTTTAAAATGCTTTTTCTGAGAGATATAGAGAGACGGAATGTGAGGGGGGAGGAGAGGCAGAGAGGGAGGGAGACACAGAATCTGAAGCAGGCTCCAGGTTCCAACATGGGGCTCAAACTCACAATCTGCGATATCCTGACTTGAGCCAAAGTCGAATGCTTAACTGACTGAGCCACCTAGGCGCCCCGCTAGACAAAGACCTTAAATTGGGCATTATAAATGTGTGAGCTGAATTAAAGGAAACAATGTACACAGACGATGTATAAAACATATAACATCTCATCAAATAAACGTCAACATACACAGAAAAATCATAAAAGAGAACCAAGCAGGAATTATGGGATGTTGAACTGCAGGACAACGGACACATTCACTAGAGGAACCAGCACACTTGAAGGCAAGTCAGCGAGAACAGCCACGTGGAAGGCCAGCAGGGGAGCACGGCCCTCGACACACATGCCCAACATGGCCCACATGGCCAGAAAACACGGGTTACACTTCAAAGGGCTAAAACTATACAAGTGTCCTTCACCCACAATGCAGTTAGGTTATAAAACGCTAACAGAAGGGAATTTGAGAAATCAATAAATATTTGGAAATAAAAGCACATTTCTAAATGATCCGAGTGTCAGAAAGAAATTACAAGGGAAATTAGAAAGTATTTTCATCCAAATGAAAGTAACACACCAAAATTTAGATGTTGAAGGGCTCAGAGAGAAATTTATAGCTTTAAATACCTGTATTAGAAAAGAAGAGGGGTACCTGGGTGGCTCAGTCGGTTAAGTGTCCGACTGCAGCTCAGGTCATGATCTCACGGTCCATGGGTTCGAGCCTCGCGTTGAGCTCTGTGGGGACAGCTCAGAGCCTGAAGCCTGCTTTGGATTCTGTGTCTCCCTCTCTCTCTGTCCCTCTCCCGCTCACACTCTCTCTCTCAAAAATAAATACACATTAAAAAAAATTTTTTTTAATCTTCCCACAAAGAAAATCGTAGGCCCAATGAATAGCTTTACTGGTGAATTTTATCAAACATTTACAGAAAAAACACTACTGACACTCCATGAATTCTTTGAAAACAGAAGAGGATGGAATACTTTGCAGCAGAATGAGCAGAAAGAGGCCACACCACCTCCATACCGAAGTCAGGCAAAAACAGCAAGAAAGAAAGGATCACTACATACGCAAAGGAAGCCCCACATTTTCTCCCACAGTACAACAGGACTGCAGGGGAGGGGGCACCATGAAGCTAGAAAACGTTATCTGAGTCGTATCTCCTTACATTTCAGAAAAGCTAGTATTATATAAAAATAAACGTGGTAGACAGAATGACAGGGTATGCTGGGTTACACGGTAAGGAGGAATTCTTAATCAGGCTGCACGTGGAGTTCAGGAAGATCATCCTGGATTATTTGGATGGACCCAGTGTGATCACAAGGGTCTTTACAGCGGAAGAGGCAGGAGAGAGACAGGGAGTGACGCCTTCAGAAGGAGGGCCGCGTGACGTGGCCCTGTTGCCTCTGACGACGGGTGCCCATCGGCCGCGGAATATGGGCGTCCTCCAGAAAGTGTAAAAGGTGAGGAAACAGACTCACCACTAGCACCTCCAGAAAGAAAGGCAGCTTGCCAACAACACCTTGATTTCAAGCCCAGTGACACCCGTCTCAGATGTGACCTCCAAACTGATTTCAGCCAAGTTTGTGATAGTTTGTTAAAGCAGCACCAGAAAACTAATACGATAAGCAATAGAGAGAATTATGGCCAAACCTCACAAAAGGATCAGAGAAAAAATAACAAAGAGCAGAAAGCATCCCCATAGGGGGCTCAGGTGGTTCACCTCTGACTCTTGATTTCAGCTCAGGTCATGATCCCAGGGTCATGAGATCGAGCTCCGTGTCCAGCTCCATGCTGACAGCACGGAGCCTGCCTGGGAATCTCTTCCTCTCTGCCCCTTCCCTGCTCATTTTCTCTCTTTCTCTCTCTCTCTAGGGGAAAAAAAAAAAGGCAGAAAGCATCTCTACAGATAATGAAAGCACATCAGAAAAACATAACCTCAAATCAAACTATATGAAAACTGTAATGTATTTCAAAAGAAACTAAAGATATTTAAAAATAAAACAAAGAACCACCTAAGTCAGGATAGGAGAATACAGAGATGAGATTATGGATCCTAAGAAAATATTACAGGGCGCCTGGGTAGCTCAGTCGGTTGAGTGTCCCACTCTTGACTTCAGCTCAGGTCACGATCCCACGGCTCATGGGTTCGAGCTATGCTGACAGCATGGAACCTGCTTGGGATTCCCTCTCCCTCTCTCTCTCTGCTCCTCCCCCACTTGCCTACATACCTTCTCTCTCAAAAATAAACAAACATTAAAAAGAAAAAAAGAATAAAAACTAAGCTAGAAGCACCATCAGAACAAGTAAACTCCACAAATGATCACTTAAGACAAACAGCAAAGAAAAATAATTTTTTTTAACGGAAAAAAAAAGGACTAAAAAAGACTAGAGAAATGGACTGAAAGGCTGATGAGAAGATTCAACAACACACATGTAACGAGAGCCCCTCTCCTCCCCGCAAAGTCAGAGGGGACAAAGCAAGGGAACAGAACACTGAAAACTTAAAAACCTTTCCCGAGGTAAAACTTGTGAACCTACATATTGACAGAGCAAGCCGTGTGGATGAGAATCCATGCCCAACAATTAACACTAAAAGAGAATTCCATTCCGGCCAAAAACAGAGTCACTTATATTGGAAAGAAAGTAAAATTACCATGCATCTGACAACAATGTTTTATGCTAGAAGAGAATAACATATTTAAGATATTCAAAGGAAGAAAATGTGAGCCGAGGACTCTATATCCAGTCAAACTGACTTTTTAAAAAAATCTTTTAATGTTTATATTTATTTTTGAGAGAGAGAGAGAGAGAGAGTATGTGTGTGTGTGGGGGGGGAGGGGCAGAGAGAGAGGGAGACACAGAATCCGAAGCAGGCTCAAGCTGTCAACACAGGAAGCTAGCGTGGGGCTCAAACTCATAAACTGTGAGATCATGACCTGAGCCGAAGTCGGACGCTCAACCGACTGAGCCACCCGGGTGCCCCAGTCAAACTGACTTTCAATTGCAAAGGACACGTAAAAACTGTTATTGGGGCACCTGGGTTCAAGCCCCATGTTGGGTGTAGAGATTACTTAAAAATAAAATCTTTATTTTTATTTATTTATTTATTTATTTATTTATTTTTAACGTTTATTTATTTTTAAGACAGAGAGAGACAGAGCATGAATGGGGGAGGGGCAGAGAGAGAGGGAGACACAGAATCGGAAGGAGGCTCCAGGCTCTGAGCCATCAGCCCAGAGCCCGGCAGCGGGCTCGAACTCACGGACCACGAGATGGTGACCTGAGCTGAAGTCGGACGCTTAACCGACTGAGCCACCCAGGCGCCCCAAAAATAAAATCTTTAAAACGCATTTAATATGCTTAAATCTGAGTTCATGGGACGCCTGGGTGGCTCAGTCGGTTAAGCATCTGACTTCAGCTCAGGTCATGATCTCATGGTTTATGAGTTCAAGCCCCACATCGGGCTCTGTAATGACAGCGCAGAGCCTCCTTGGGATTCTCTGTCTCTCTGTCTCTCTCTCTGTACCTACCCAATTTGCATGCTCTGTCTGTCTCTCTCTCAAAAATAAAAAATAAATAAGTCAACAATAAAATCTTCAACTGGTCACCTTTGGAGGAAGATAGAAGATTGATTATTTTGAAACCTGGCAGAGAGAAGAATCAAGCATTTATCTCGGGTGTCCTATGTGAACCCGAGCCCTAGATAACCAAATGACGATGACAGGTTTCTCTTACTGGAAGTCCGGCTCATACACGCAGCTGCAGTAACTCAGCAGGAGCATCACCATTTTGTAACTTGTCTGGAATTAACGCATGTCGTCCGTGCATCGTTGGCTGCCAACATCGAGAAAGAAAGACATTGCACGTTAGGTGTCTCCTGATGCACCACAACACCCCTGTGAAGGAGCCTTGCCGAGTCAAACCCGAATCTGATTAAACCTCTATATCCAACTACCCCTTCCCAGGAAACCAGGGAGAGATGACACTACACGGGAGGACCGCCATCAGCGAAATCCAGACTGTGAGAACCACAAGCCCAACCACAAAAAACTTCCACGAGAGGTGGGGGGCGAGCTACAGATAATACTGAAATGCCATCTAAGTCAACGGGCAGAACTTAACTAGGACTTGGAGGTATGTGATTCGGTCACAAAACTACGAAGAAAAGCAAGGACGGACTTGCCATAAAAGCCAGGCTGGCAGTTACTTCCGTCAGGACGGCGGGGGGCGGTGGGGGAGACACGGATGAGGGGTCTGGGGAGCCAGCAGAAGTCCGTTTCTTGACCCAAGTGATGGTCACAAAAGCGTCCACCTTATAACAACCCATCAAACCACACACTTACTTCCTGGTTTCTGCGTCTGCGCTATACTTTAAAAAGGCTTAAAAACCCAAATCGTATGAAACTATGTTGACGAGGGTGCTGTGGTGTTGGTTCCAGGGGCCAACAGGCTGGCAGAGACTGGAGAGCCCGGGGACAGGCCCACGCACAAGGTCTGCACACAGCAGACTTTTGACGCTGGAGACGCTGGAGAGCAGCGAGCAGGAGGATCTTTTAAATACATGGGGCCACGACAATTAGATCTCCGTGTGGAAAAAATGACACCTGACCCTAGTTCACGCCATCCCCCAAATCGACGGTCACGCTAAAGGCAAAACAATAAAGAACGTAAGATGGAGAAACATTCTTACGACCTTGACTTAGAGCAAAACAGAACTACCAAGGGAAGATGGACAAACCAGGCCACATTAAAATTAAGAAACTTAAAGATCAAGGAAATACAAATGAAATCCAGAACACCATACACCCTGTAAAGCGGCCACACACACACACACACACACACACACACACACACACGCTGAGCCGACAGTGCCAGGGGCCGGACTAGGACACGCAAGCCCAGCTACCCTGGAACACACTGCAGCCCCCCACGCTATCGTGTGACCAGTCACAGGGTCACGCCCACAAGATGCCTGGAGACCTGCAACAAAGGACAAATCCAAAAACGTTCGTGGCAGTAATCACAGAGGTGTAAGTGGCTCCCGACCGCAGATAACATGTTGTGATAGATCCGTGCGTGGGATAGCCCACAGCCACGACAACAAAGAAACTGTCATAATATCCAGCAACCACGACAGTGAGCAGAACACGCACCGCATGACCCCCGTATATGAACGACAGTGGCACAGGCCGGGAAAACAAGGGACTTTGGGACTGGGGAGCACGGGGGTGGCGTCCATCTCTCGAGCTGGTGACGATTCACAGAGATGAGCACTTGTCCGCGTGTCTTATGGTTCACGACACAAGACTTACACTCTGGAAATCACCCACACAGCCCCGGCAGCCGCCCCCCAGTGCCCACCACGGCTGCCTTCCTGGCGCACGGGAGGTCGGCCAGGACCATGCCGGGTGCAAGTGGGCGCCCACACAGACACACGTCTACAAGGGGATACGCAACTTAACTGCAGTCATCATGAAAGGCTTTCACTTTCTATTTTATACAGTCCTCTGTTGCTTGACTAATTTTGTGCATATTATTTCATAATCAGAAGTAGCAACGATATTGCTAATTTAAGAAAACCACTGTCATCTGATCTAGCAGCTTACTACTAAAGAAAATCAGCTTTTCCTACTATTTTGGTACAAATTAAAGGGGAAAAAAAGAAGCGTGTTATCTTTGGTTTTCAAACCACAAAAGGATTATGCTACTGTGGCAGTTTTGATCAGTCTGCATAGATAAAGAGGACCAGTAGGTTTTTGCCACCTACCCCTGGAGAGGATTTCTCTGGATGGTTCTGACCCTACTCTCCAGCAAACAGAAACAGGGTGACCAATGACAACGTGTCAAACCCAGAATCCTTCTAGAACAAACTTCATCACCCTGTCCGCGGTTGGCTGCCGCCGCTTGCAGCCCGGGGCCCCCGGGATAGGAGGCCGTCCCAGGTCTCTGCAGCCCCTGGGGCTACCTGATGCTGACTGAACATCGAGCAATTAAGGAAGTGATGGCCCCCTCGGAAGGTGCGACAGCAATCTCAACTTCCAGAGCAATGGAAGGGCGGGGGGAGACAGAAAGAATGCACCCCAAAACCAAAGTTCCTTCAACTTACGGTACGTTTCTTAGGTTCAAAGACAAAAATACCAAAAAGTAAAAGGTAGCTTCAGAGGTTCCTTTCCATAGGCTAGAAAAAGTAAGACGTATGGACGTGCTCGGACTCAGAGAAGTTGCTGTTCTTTTATCGACGGGACGAAAGAAACCACCTTCCAACTCCACGGCGCTGAAGTCCAGAGCAGAGTCAGCGCCCGGGGGGCAGAGCTGCCCGGCTGTCACCCCGGGCCACTTGCTAACACAGCCGTCTGTTTACTGATCTCAGACACTCTGGGCGCCAAACAGCCATTTTAGTATTTTTCATTTCTCACAGCCACATCGAAGCATATTAAACGAACACCACTCCGAGATACCAGGTCTCACTGGGTCGGACCGGCAAAGACTGGGTGAGGACACACCCTCTGTCTGCGAGGCTGTGACAAGCCTTCAGGGGACCACACGCTTGGAGGGGAATCTGGGAACCCCTGCTACAGTGACATCCTTGGACGCAGCAATCCCACCGCCAGGACCAGACCCCAAAGACAGCCCTCGTCCAATACAAAATAACATCTGCCAAGGCTGGGGACTGTAGCGTCCTACCGAGGCCGGACCACCACTCAAAGACCCGTCGGGAAGGACGGACACATTCACAGGTGCTGAATAAAACGGCGAGGCACACACACAGTGTAAGAGTACCTGCTGCCTTTTATGAAAGACCAGCCGGGAGCTATACACAGACGTGTACATGCTTGGCTTTGCGGGATAAAGCAGACACAAAGATGACTGCCTGTAAACAGTAGAGGAAACAGGGACGGGGTGAAATTTCTGATATCTTCCACAGGATTTTGACTTTTGAGCCGTGTAATTATTTTGAACGTAAAAATAAAATCTAAAAATTCCTCGTCTGAAACCAACAAACCGAATTTTTTGTATCAAACGAGGAACATAACGACAGACAAAAGAAGGCTTGTTTTAAAACGCACTGTTTTATTACTAATACGTACTAAGAACAAAAGGAAAACCCTCAAAAACAAAAGCACCTTATGGGCGCCTGGCTGGCTCAGCTGGAAGAACACAGGACTCTTGATCTCAGGGTTGTGAGTTCGAGCCCCACATTGGGTATAGAGATTACTTAAAACTAAAATCTTAAACAAACGCGAAAGCACCTTAAACTCGGCTAAGTAGTGTCAGTAGTAACCCAGTATTGTAACATCACACCCTATCTTATGTAT